CCCCACTGCATAAAACCCCTTTTAGGGATGGCTTGGGAGGGAGTGACTACCAGGACTTTGAACCCCCTGCCTGGAGAAAATTGTGGCCAGATTGTGTCGACAAGAGGGATTTTGAAGAATTTAGGACTGACCCTAATGAGCCTATGTCTGTTGTAAAATCAATTGTGGCACTGGGGAGTTCCATGGGGTTGGGGTGTGAGTTTGGAGGATGTGGGAAAAATTGGTGGAAGACCACAATGAAGAGCTCACCACTGAGGAGCGCAAGAGCTTCAGCAGGAAGAGCAACACATTGCAGCTCAGAATCTTGCTGCAGAGGAGGAGGAAGAGAGATAGCAGAAGGTGCCTTCTTCAGAAATTAAAGAGATTTTTACTATGTGGGGTAAGATGGAAACCTTTATGGAGAAACATAACCCTAACAAGGTTGTTGCAAGCCAGGTTGGCAACATGTACAGTGACAAAGTCTTGGGCCATTTTAGGGAAGTGTTAAAGAGGGCGCCAGAAACAGAGCTCTCCCACAGTTATTTTGTGAGACAGGACTCCAGTGACTCTCAAAGGGGGTCCTCGTGGCATTAAGAAACAAGAAGAGAAGCAACCCAGAAAAGCAAATGGTACCTGAGGGTTTGATGGAAGGGGATTCCCCTTCCAAACTATAAACAATCCACTCTCCTCCTCCAGTCCCCCATACACTAAGATGAATCTCCAATAAAGGTAAGTGTTATGCTGTTAATGTTTCATTCATCATTTCCCATTGTATTGTTTATGTACTACATGCATATTTCATGTTAAAAAATTTTTTGTTTTAATACTTCTGGGTGTCAGGAACGGATTAATTGTATTTACATTATTTCTTATGGGGAAAATTGATTCGTAAATCGTAAATTTCGTTTATAGTAACGGCTCCAGGAACGGATTAATTACGAACGAGGGACCACTGTATAACAAAAAAAAAAAAAAAGATCAAATTTTTTTTACACATTTTCTAATGTAAAAAAACAAAAAGAAGATCTACTTTTTTTACATACTTTCAAATGTTGAAAAAACGTATATATACGTTTAGACCGTTTACGGGTTAATGCCATTAGGACTCAATTTGTTGGGATTTCTACTCTTAACTGGATTATCTTTGATTTAAAACTGAACAAGATAATGGTTATTCCTTGTTATTTTATATAGTGAGAAGTGCTAAACCCATAAGTCATATATCAATAACAGCTTTTAGCCTGAAAATTTAATTTTTTTTTTTTTTTTTTTTTTTTCAACAAGTCGGTCGTCTCCCACCGAGGCAGGGTGACCCAAAAAAGAAAGAAAATCCCCAAAAAGAAAATACTTTCATCATCATTCAACACTTTCACCACACTCACACATTATCACTGCTTTTGCAGAGGTGCCCAGAATACAACAGTTTAGAAGCATATACGTATAAAGATACACAACATATCCCTCCAAACTGCCAATATCCCAAACCACTCCTTTAAAGTGCAGGCATTGTACTTCCCATTTCCAGGACTCAAGTCCGACTATATGAAAATAACCGGTTTCCCTGAATCCCTTCACTAAATATTACCCTGCTCACACTCCAACAGATCGTCAGGTCCCAAGTATCATTCGTCTCCATTCACTCCTATTTAACACGCTCATGCACGCTTGCTGGAAGTCCAAGCCCCTCGCCCACAAAACCTCCTTTACCCCCTCTTTCCAACCCTTTCGAGGACGACCCCTACCCCTCTTTCCTTCCCCTATAGATTTATATGCTTTCCATGTCATTCTACTTTGATCCATTCTCTCTAAATGACCAAACCACCTCAACAACCCCTCTTCTGCCCTCTGACTAATGCTTTTATTAACTCCACACCTTCTCCTAATTTCCACACTTCGAATTTTCTACATAATATTTACACCACACATTGCCCTTAGACAGGACATCTCCACTGCCTCCAACCGTCTCCTCGCTGCTGCATTTACCACCCAAGCTTCACATCCATATAAGAGTGTTGGTACTACTACACTTTCATACATTCCCTTCTTTGCCTCCATAGATAACGTTTTTTGACTCCACATATACCTCAACGCACCACTCACCTTTTTTCCCTCATCAATTCTATGATTAACCTCATCCTTCATAAATCCATCCGCCGACACGTCAACTCCCAAGTATCTGAAAACATTCACTTCTTCCATACTCCTCCTCCCCAATTTGATATCCAATTTTTTTCTTTATCTAAATCATTTGATACCCTCATCACCTTACTCTTTTCTATGTTCACTTTCAACTTTCTACTTTACACACATTCTCAAACTCATCCACTAACCTTTGCAATTTTTCTTTAGAATCTCCCATAAGCACAGTATCATCAGCAAAAAGTAACTGTGTCAATTCCCATTTTGAATTTGATTCCCCATAATTTAATCCTTCCCCTCTCCCGAACACCCTAGCATTTACTTCTTTTACAACCCCATCTATAAATATATTAAACAACAATGGTGACATTACACATCCCTGTCTAAGACCTACTTTTACCGGGAAGTATTCTCCCTCTCTTCTACACACCCTAACCTGAGCCTCACTATCCTCATAAAAGCTCTTTACAGCATTTAGTAACTTAACACCTATTCCATAAACTTGCAACATCTGCCACATTGCTCCTCTATCCACTCTATCATATTCCTTTTCTAAATCCATAAATGCAATAAAAACTTCCCTACCTTTATCTAAATACTGTTCACATATATGCTTCAATGTAAACACTTGATCTACACATCCCCTACCCACTCTGAAGCCTCCTTGCTCATCCGCAATTCTACATTCTGTCTTACCTCTAATTCTTTCAATTATAACCCTACCGTATACTTTTCCTGGTATACTCAGTAAACTTATTCCTCTATAATTTTTACAATCTCTTTTGTCCCCTTTCCCTTTATATAAAGGGACTATACATGCTCTCCGCCAATCCCTAGGTACCTTCCCCTCTTTCATACATTTATTAAACAAAAAGTACCAACCACTCCAACACTATATCCCCCCCTGCTTTTAACATTTCTGTCATGATCCCATCAGTTCCAGCTGCTTTACCCCCTTTCATTCTACGTAATGCCTCACGTACCTCCACCACACTTACATTCTGCTCTTCTTCACTCCTAAAAGATGGTATACCTCCCTGGCCAGTGCATGAAATTACCACCCCCCTTTCTTCCTCAACATTTAAAAGTTCCTCAAAATATTCTCGCCATCTACCTAATACCTCCCTCTCCCCATCTACTAACTCCCCTACTCTGTTTTTAACGGACAAATCCATACTTTCCCTAGGCTTTCTTAACTTGTTTAATCACTCCAAAACTTTTTTATTTTCATTAAAATTTCTTGACAGTGCCTCTCCCACTCTTTAATCTGCTCTCCTTTGCACTCTCTCACCACTCTCTTCACCTTTCTTTTACTTCCATATACTCTGCTCTTCTTAAACACTTCGGTTTGTAAAAACCTCTCGTAAGCTACCTTTTTCTCTTTTATCACACCCTTTACTTCATCATTCCACCAATCACCCCTCTTTCCTCCTGCCCCGCCCTCCTATAACCACAAACTTCTGCCCCACATTCTAATACTGCATTTTTAAAACTATTCCAACCCTCTTCACCCCCCCACTACTCATCTTTGCACTAGCCCCCCTTTCTGCCAATAGTCGCTTATATCTCGCCCGAACTTCCTCCTCCCTTAGTTTATAACTTTCACCTCCCTCTTACTTGTTGTTGCCACCTTCCTCTTTTCCCATCTACCTCTTACTCTAACTGTAGCTACAACTAAATAATGATCTGATATATCAGTTGCCCCTCTATAAACATGTACATCCTGGAGCCTACCCATCAACCTTTTATCCACCAATACAAATCTAACAAACTACTTTCATTACGTGCTACATCATACCTTTTTATATTTATTTATCCTCTTTTTCATAAAAATATGTATTACTTATTACCAAATTTCTTTCTACACATAGCTCAATTAAAGGCTCCCCATTTACATTTACCCCTGGCACCCCAAATTTACCTACTACTCCCTCCATAACATTTTTACCCACTTTAGCATTAAAATCCCCAACCACCATTACTCTCACACTTGATTCAAAAACTCCCCACGCATTCACTAACATTTCCCAGAATCTCTCTCCTCTACACTTCTCTCTTCTCCAGGTGATACACGCTTACTATAACCCACTTTTCACATCCAATCTTTATTTTACTCCACATAATCTTGAATTTATGCATTTGTAGTCCCTCTTTTCCTGCCCATAGCTTATCCTTCAACATTATTGCTACTCCTTCTTTAGCTTAACTCTATTTGAAACCCCTGACCTAAATCCCATTTATTCTCTCCATTGAAACTCTCCCACCCCCTTCAGCTTTGTTTCACTTAAAGCCAGGACATCCAGTTTCTTCTTTATTCATAACATCCACAATCATCTCTTTCTTATCATTTGCACAACATCCCCGCACATTCAGACTTCCCACTTTGACAATTTTTCTTCTTATCTTTTTAGTAATCTTCACAGGAAAAGGGGTTACTAGCCCATTGTTCCGGCATTTTAGTTGACTTTTACAAAAACGCTGGCTTACGGAGGAAAGATTCTTATTCCACTTCCCCATGGATATAAAAGGAAAAGTAATAAGACCAAGAACTATTAAGATAAAATCAAAGAAAACTCAGATGAGTGTGTATAAATAAATGTGTACATGTATGTGTAGTGTGACCTAAGTGTAAGTAGAAGTAGCAAGATGTACCTGTAATCTTGCATATTTATGAGACAGACAAAAGACACCAGCAATCCTACCATCATGTAAAACAATTACAGGCTTTCATTTTACACTCACTTGGCAGGACGGTAGTACCTCCCTGGGTGGTTGCTATCTACCAACCTACTACCTAAATTTAATTAGTAAATTAGTAAATTTAATTAGTGTATATATACAAAAACATCATGCACACAAATTAAGTTTACGTTGATCAACAGGCCGCCCGCAAATATGACATCCCATACCCAACCTTCGTGCTTTATGCCAACCGGGTCCACAACCTGCTGGGACCATCACAGGAGCCGGGGGACATGAGGCCCAAGGGCCGAGGCAGACCACAGAGGATACTGCTGGGGTCATGGCCTGAGGAACAAATCAAGGGCGTGATTAGAGCCGTCGTCTTTCGGGACACCTCTGTGTTCAAGGAAAATGAGCATAAGGTGGGCGCGAAGACCAAGGTACTGTCCAATAGCACTCGAGCTTACATTATTTGATTTTTTTTTTTTTGAGTGAAATAGTTTTATTGTTTTGAATGTTATGTTTTCCTCAGCACATGCACTTTCAATAATTACATTTCACATCAGCACAATGAATGAATTTTATTTTAATATTTACTTTGACCTATATTAATAAATATTTTGTTTTTTCTCTTAAGACCCACCATTAGTTCTTGTTCCATCAATAATATTGCTTGGTTTTCTGTATGTAACAAATCAGAAGCATAAATACTTAAATTCTCTCATTACACGCAGCATGCTTTTCTTAAAACTATTGACTCATGTTTGTATCTAAATGTCCCCTCCCTCCCAGATTTAATGTTTTATAAGTAGCGGTGCATTACTTGGTTCGAATCACAAAAACTTGTTAAGTAAGCACAAATGGAACACCAGAAGTTACTAAACACTATTTCCATTTGTGCTTTGAACAATTTTATCTTCACTTTATGATTACTTATTCACTAATAGTGATTGTCTTAATAACCTGTAGAACTCACACCCCCACCATTTCCCATCACAATATTGAACTTTGCTGTAGACTTGGTGTTCACTGCATTTTTCTCTGTATTTTTTTTAGGAAAACAAGCAGCCACTTGCGCCCAAGCTACATCGGGTTAGTATTTTTACCTTTCCTTTCACCTGACAATGTCAGCTTTCAAAGTTTCGATGTATCACTTTTCAATACATGTATCATTTGCACAGTAAGCTTCATATGATTTTATACTTTGTTATTTTGATGTGAAAAGTACTGTAATCAACTTTTGTGATCATATGTCACACAGACACCTCAATTTGTTATCCACCATCCATCTTTCCTACTCTCCTGATAAACAGACATATTGGATTATTCATTTTGAATATTTTTGAAATTTTTTGTAATGCTAATTAAGATTGAAAATTAGTTATTATTAATTATTTCACCTACATTTACTGAGAACATCATTATTGGACAAATATGCATCCATAGCCTAAATAAAGACTTGCTAAAAAATTAGTATTACTACTTAATTAACACTGATTAGAAGCAGTTCAAAAAGTGGTTACCTGGAATGGCTTCAAGTTTTTCTGGTTATATAAAGTAGTCATCATGACCTTTTTCTTGTCTTGAAAAATAATTGGAGGTCAGTATTTCAGATGCCAGGTGCCTTTTTCTCAGGGGGGTAGGAATGAGTTGTTATGAAGCATGACCTCCATTATTGCCATTGGATCTCTCAAAATTTTTGTAGTTCAAGAAAAACTTATAAAGGTTTTTATCTTTCAGGATGATCCTGCTGGTTTACTCATGAAGCCAAATGGTCCAATGCTGCCCAATGTGTCAGGCATCCTAACAGGCTTGTCCTTGGATACACCAGACAATGGTAGTTTATCAACAGCACCTAGCACTCCAGCCTCGGCCACTCCAGCACCGTCGACACCTATACCTGCTACCCCAATCCCAACACCATCAACTACACCAGCTGCTACTACTACACCTGTCGCCTTGCCTCTCACTACACCTCCCACTCCTGGAAGCACTGTGGGTGCAGCAGCGTGTAGTCCAACATCAGAGTCCCGTTTAGTAAATACCACTATGGGGAACAGTTCAACTCCATCTCCGAACAGCATGGTGTCTGCTTGTCTAACTACTATGACACTTACTTCCTCTATGTCCTCACCAGTGTTTAGTCTTGCTAACAGCACCTCCAGTAATGGAAGTATTACTAGCAGTGTTGTCAATGGAGAGCCACCAGTTAGTCCTACAGCAGGATCTCAGCAGCTAGAGACATCACCACATAATTCCCTTCAAAATCAACAGGAGCAACAGCAGCAGCAACAGCAGCAACAACAGGAACAGCCACAGAAGCAAGAGCAACAAACACAACAGCTACAACAACTACAGCCACCTCAGTCGCTTCAACCACAACCACAGCAACCACAGCAACAGCCAGCTCAACCCCAACCACAGCAGCAGTCACAACAACACCTGCAACAACAGCCATCAACACCACAACCACAACACCAAACCCAACACCAAGCCCAGCGTCAGGGGCCACACCTTGGCCCACTACCAGGTCCACATCAGAACCCACACCATGGCCCACACCATGGATCGCATCATGGCCCACACCAAAGTCAACACCAAGGTCCTCATCATGGCCAACACCATGTCCCTCACCAAGGCCCACAGGGGCCACATAGAAGTCAGCATCATAGTCAGCTCCCAGGTCAACAACACCAGGGTCAACATCAGCAGCACCCACAGCCTCAACATACACCACAGCATCATCAACATGCACAGCTTGGAGGCCTGTTGCCCAGTGGGCTTCCCTCTCCCCTGGCCACATCTTTGGCATCACCGGTCCATTTGGCACGGTTGTTTGGTGAAAGTGCTCATCCTCATCTTTCTGGTCCCCAACATCCTCAACACCCACAAGCTCCTATCAGTCCCTTCCATCCTGCCTTCCCCCGGCATCCTCATCCTTCTGCTGCAATGCAGGTTATGAATGCCATGAACAGTCTCAATGCTCATGCTTCTCGGATGAATTCTAATGGCGTTGAACCGTCACCTGAAGCGTTGCTCTTTAGCAAATTAACAAATCCTCATATGAATCCCACTCAGGGTAGTGGTGAAAGCGCTGCAAGAAGTGGTCCAACTCAAAATCAGTTTGACAACCATGGAGATGCCTCCAGTTTGGCTGGGATGGTAGACCGTACATCTCTAATGTATCGTGATGGCCTAGACAATATTAAGTCTGAACCTGAACCCATTCTGAATTGAAATTCCCGCTGCTCTTAATAATGGCTCCCTGTGTAATGTAGATAGCCTAAGTGTTAGTGATAAACTGATATCAGTATCAATAGCAGCAATCAAGGGTATTTGAAATGTATTCCCTCTGCTGCTAGTTTGTTGTGCAGTGTATAGGATCCCAGAATCATCACTTGTGTAGGGACCATATTCTATATGAAACTTTTGCACACCTCTTTATAAGAGCATATTTTAATTGATTATGTAAATAGTAGAGAGGATTACATATGTAGCTTTGCATCTGCATTTGTCCAAAACAGTTGGGCATTACCTCAAAGTGAAACTCATTCATACGCAGTGTCACTGTACAAACTGGACATGCCAATATTTCCCTCATGATGTACATAGTTAAGGTGACTGGTGCATGCAACTCTGCATGATGCCTTGCACCCCTTTACTTTCGTTTTGAGAAAGGGTTTTTTTTTAACCTTTTGAAAGGTATTTTTGCTTTACTTGTTAGTAATAGATCAGAAGCTGATGTAGGATTATTGTAGAAAAAATTTGTTTTATAATTATTTATTTTGGCAATCCAAGAATACATTTTCCTTTTTCCCTGATCTTTTGCCTTTTAAAGAGAGGAAGGCCATAGTTTATGCTCGAGTGGCAAGTGCTAGGAAAAAACACTATTGTCCACCCACATTTATACATTCACACATGAAATATTTCAGCATTTAATTTACTCTTTTAAGTATAGCAGTAACATTTTATTTGGAAAATAAATTGAATTTCAAATATCTAAATTTTCTGAATATGAGATTATATTTTCTGAATGAGAAGAGAATGAGTTTCAAGTTTTAATTCAGAATCTCTGAAAAATCTAAATTTCTGGAATAAGAAAAGCATTTGAATTTCTTTAAAAATGTCTAATTAAATTTTATTTGTCTAAGAGAGGTGTTCAGTTGTTTAGTATTTTGGAATTTTCTTATTTTCAATGCCCATCACATTATTCCAAGTAAACGAATACGAGACTGTGCATGTATTTTACACAGTAAGTATGGGAGTTTAAAATGCAATAATACTGTTTGTGTGTGTATTTGTATGCATATAGTTTTGTGTATGTATTTTTTTTAATAACGATATCCACTGATGCAGGGTGACCTAAAAAGAAAAACAAAAAGTTATCTTTTTCTTTCTTTCTTTCTTTTTCTTTCTTTCTTTCTTTCCCACTTCCCCATGGACAGATATGGATATATAATATATAAATTTTTTTATTAAAACTTGGCCATTTTCCACCGAGACAGGGTGACTTGAAAAAAAAGTAACACTTTCATCGTCATCATTCATTCCACTTTTGTCTTGCCAGAGGTGCACCTACACTACAGTTAAAAAAAATGCAACTTTACCTCCATCCCTCCTTCAGAGTGCAGGCACTGTACTTACCACTTCCAGGACTCAAGTCTGGCAAAACGGGTTTTCCCATGAATCCCTTAATAATGTTACTTTCCTCATCTGAACAGCACATCGTCATAAGTAATTTATTTATTTATTTATTTTATTTATTTATTTTCAACACAGTGCCTGTTTTCCCACTGAGGCAGGATGCCCCAAAAAAAGAAGAAAAGAAAAGTTTTCTTGTTTTTGCTTTTAGTAATTTTTTACAGAAGGGATTACTAGCCCCTTGCTCCTGGCATTTTAGTTGCCTCTCACGAAAACGCCTGGCTTATGGACGAATTCTTTTCCACTTCCCCATTAAAAATAAATATGTATGTATAATATATATATATATAAATAAAATCTGTATAACAATATTAGGGGGGTTTATAACTATATGGGGGGAAACCTTTTTTAATATTCCTAGCTCCAACCCACTGAAGCTATGAGGCTTTCTGAAAAAATTTTGCAAGTAAACGTTCATTTCAGTCTATATTTAGGGATTAACTCACTTTCCCAAAAATTATCCTCATATTACTGCATTACAGTACATGGTATACACTACTCCTCCAACGTCTCTGAGTCTTTTCCCTCCATGAACTAATGGAGGGTTTACTATCCATTCTAGGTATGATTGGCAACTTACTAGCAGCAGATGTTGCAGGTGATCCTTATCTCTGGTTAGGCAGCTGCTGTACTGTTGTTGGATGAGGTATCATGGCTCGCATGGCATGGCCATTCACCACCACCAGGTTTTCCAAAAACATTAAGCATCACCTAAAAATTTTTTTTTTTTGTTTTTTTTTAACCATTCATCCTGGTGCCTGCTCAAGAAATGTGCACAAAACTTTAGTTGTTTGAAGATCCAGTTCTTCATCACAAGGCTCTCCAAATTGAACCTAGAGGTGAACTGACACGCTTCATAATCTGCTTTTAAATAATCTTTCTTGTATCACAGGGCCACGATGTTTCACAAAGTAAGAGAGGTATCAAAATGGTTATGCCAGCCATTGACTGACCTGAATAGTCAAAGGCAGTGAAGTGGCCATCAAAGCAGTGAACAATGCTTTTAGGTAGTGTTTTCAGAGATGCTCACTCCTTGCAAACAATGTTTTTTTCTTTTGATGTGAGATGCAGCAATTGCTCCTAGAATGTCCACATCTTGATATGCTAAAGGACCTTGAACATCCAACAACTGTGATGCATTGCATATGGACAACTGTTTTGAATTGGCCCGTTTAAGAATTTTTTCCAAGAAAGACACAGGCAAGTTTCCCAAAGAATTCTTTGTATCATCTTTATTTCCCTTTCTGAACTTCAGAAAGTTGTATGAATGGAAATAGGGCTGGACCAACAATGAGATCATTGACATCTGTTTGGAATGTGTTTTGGTAGACCTGTTGTTGCTGAAACCTCTCAAGAAAACAATGTTTAGACTAGAAATTGCATTAGGATTTTAACATGAAATCAACAATGGCAGCTAGTTCCAAATTTTAAAGTTTAGCATCTCTTTCTACAACATCTGTTCTAGGAGCACACAGTATCTGGAGTGACTGCCAGAGTTAACAGGGGTAGTGTCAAAACATGTTCCTATCAATACACAGGTTCTCCATCACAAATCCGGCATCATTGGGACCTGTAGTGTGCCGGATTACAGAGTGGTTAGGTTAGAATACACTTAATAAAATTAACCAACATGACTTACACAAAGTTCATTGAACATCAGCAAAAATCGAACATTTCCGTTACTTTGAGCTCAATTTCAAGGTACAGTGGACCCCCGGTTTACGATCAGCTCCCAATGCGACCAATTATGTAAGTGTATTTATGTAAGTGCGTTTGTATGTGTATGTTTGGGGGTCTGAAATGGACTAATCTAATTCACAATATTCCTTGTGGGAACAAATTCGGTCGGTACTGGCACCTGAACATACTTCTGGAATGAAATAATATCGTAAACCGGGGGTCCACTGTACTTTTCATCATGAAAGCAATCAAAATCGTGTCTATTTCTGTAATATATCATCCAGTCTATCAAATGAGACCAAAAAAACATGAATACAACCATAATAACCATACGAAAATATACCACAAAGAGGTGGCTAATGGCTGAGAAGTGAACTCCCTTATTTATCTTCCATCTTTTTTATTTTTGGTGTACATTAAGAAGCATCTTTCCATCATACATTGCCCAAGTTTCAATGAGATAGCCCAACAAACAACTGAGAAAAAAACAATATTTACCAAAAATCATGGCAAGCCCAAGCTAGGTAGTGGAAATAAGTCACTTTGTCTTACTTTTTTGGGTTATCCTAGGTTCTCTATACATACGCTGCTATGTATGATAATCTATGTAACTGTATTTGTGAAATAGTCCCTGAATAAACTTACTTCTAGTGTGTTAAATGAGTACAAGAAACCGCCCATTCCCCTATTTCAACTATCCAATAAAGGGGTCAAAAAATTGGCAATTTGGCAATTTCACAGATGCCAATTTCAAAATAGGATCCAGAATAGACAATGCAAACATTCCTGGCACTAAAATAACATTTTCTCTATTCATTAGTCATGGCTCCAGGCCCCTCTTATATTACTCTTGCTTACCTTTTTGGAATTTTTATTCACACAAAAAATAGATTTTACTGTTATGCAGACAAATGCATTATTGTAATTGAAATAAATAATGTCAACCCATTCTTGACTGCATATTGGAATTTGGACTGGCAGGCGGACAGGTATTGGACGGTGATGTCATTTGTTTACTCGAGCATTGCTAAAGAATAGAACCATACAAAAATATACCGCTAAGTGGCCGCTAATGGTGAGAAGTGAATCTCTGTATTATTTAGCGGCTGAGAAGTGAACTCTGCTATTTATGGTCTGATTTCTTTCATTTTTGGTATACATTAAGAAATATCTTTCCATCATACATTGCCCAAGTTTCAGTAAGATAACCCAACAAACAAATGAGAAAATAATAATAATAATAATAATTTACTACACGTACATGTACATGGGATACAGACATAGCTGGCATCAGTGACATACTACTATATGGAAAGCCGCTTGTTATGCTGAGTATTTCAAGCAAATTAGGTCAGTGTCCCAGGAAAAAACCCAAAACCAGTCGACTAACACCCGGGTACCCATTTACTGATGGGTGAACATAGACAACAGGTGTAAAGAAACATGCCCAATGTTTCTACCCTGGCTGGGGGCTTAGCGCTTCTTTTTGATTATAATAATAATACCCTGGCTGGGAATCAAATATTTACCAAAAATCATATATGGCTAACCCAAGCCAGGTACTAGAAATAAGCCACGTTGTCTGACTTTTTTGGGTTATCCTAGGTTCTCTACACATATGCTGCTATGTGTGTGGTAATCTATTTAGAGAAAATAGCTTTTTTGTTTCAGGTTTATGGTGCAGTACAAGTGTATATCACAGTTAGCCCTGTGCTACACTCTGTTTTCTCTAATATAAGCCCCAAGACAGGAATAGGAGAATGGTACTTGTGTCTCATATCCTCTTCATACCTCCGTTGAACTGTTCGGTATTATGCCAAATATTATTCATTCTGGAGTATTTAACATATTTTATGTTATTTATATTGTTTATTATGTCATATTAGATCAGTTGTGATAGGCAATAAGCTGTAGTGTTGATATTAGCGTAATAATAAAGCATATTCTCCTGCATCACTAGACTGAGCTCATGGCAACCGACAATGGCTTCAAAGCCACCTTATCTTTAATGGACAATGTACTGTATAGGTGCTTTACACAATGAAAAACATTTTTTTTTATTCATTGGAACCATGGCTAGGGCTAAAGTAAGCAGGTTATAACAATTAATGGAAAAAAGAAATTAGAATGACTTATGCAGCAAGTAGCACCACCAAACAGTACCAGCAGGTTGGTGTGGCAACCCTGGAAATTTTGAAATTATGCTAGCCGAAATTAGGCCGAATAACTGAAGAGAACTGATAACTGATTACCGGATTT